CAGGGTTTGCCAGAATCTTTTCGAGGCCGAACAAAATAATGCTTATTATTATTGCTCTACTTGTGCATCCCTAAAAAGTACAGTACATCTTATAGATATTAGCCCATTGTGCTTGATTTATGATTAACCTGCTCACAGCCTTTCCTTTTTTTAGCCATAAAGGGACCATTTACGAGTCATTTTAATTATTGATGCGTACTTGGTGAGTCTAAGGGTTAGTGTGTTTGGACTGTGTGAGTGCAGGCTAATGAAGGTATTTTATGAAATACTGATCAGGCCTTAGCAGCAACAGAAGAAGTGGGAGGGTTCTGGGGGGCAGTGGGTTGAAACACAGAAACACCAAAGTTAATACAGGGAGAAAGAGGGTGTCCAGCTCAATACATCATGTCAAATGCAGAGACGAGGGATTTTAAGTGCAAAAGAAGCACAGTTCCAACATTGAACTGCGTGAAAAGGGTCAGTAGAAACAATGAGCCAGGGCATCTTCCTGTGTGCTGTAACAAGTTCCTCGTTTGTGCTCCAGAGGAATCAAAATGAAAACCTGGATATCAGTGTTTGCCATGTTTTATTACGGTGGCATGTGCTGGTTCTTCATTTAAGGTCAAAGGCCAAAGTGTTTATTTGTCATATGCACAATTAGGAAACCTGTTTCCCTGTACAATGAAATTCTTACTTTGCTGTCCACATGAATGCCACAAAATACAAATGAAACACAAAGTAGATAAACAAGTAACACAAAATCTAAGGCACTTGAAGCAGCAAATGCAGCAATATAATAAAAATTTAAGTATCCGTGCCTTCCTCTTTGTTTTTCTTTTTTGTCACGGTAAAGCAGTAGAGTTGATTATTAGCTGTAGTGCATCTATTGTCTACCTGAGTCTTATTTTCTAACTTTTCACCATTTGTTTTATTCTTTTGGCTGTAATCCTGTACCCTGCTACAGTCCTGCACAGCCTTTTGTTATCGCACGCTACTGTGCTTATAATGCACACTTTGTTCCTTATTTGTCATCAGACTGATCACAGTGACTGATTATTAAGTCCTACTCTTTTACCTTTTGAAAAAATAAAAACAAACTCTGGTCAGCATGACCCTTACTATTTCAAGAAAGTAATAAATAATAAGTAAGTAATAATACAAATGACTCCGGAGTAGTAGAGAGTCCAGCCTCTCTCGAGGAGTAAGGTTCCAGAGCCCAAGCTATGCGTGGAGGTGAGCCCGACTATATCTAGCCGTTACCTCTCAAACTCCTGCACAAGCTCGGGCTCCTTCCCCACCAGCGAGGTGACATTCCATGTCCCCAGGGCTAGTCTCCGTGTCCAGAGATCAGGTCGTCGGGCCCCTGCCTTCGACTGCTGCCAAATCTATTCATAAAGGGCTTTTGAACTGCTCTTAGTCTGACCCGTCACCCAGGACCTGTTTGCCTTGGGAGACCCTACCAGGGACATATAGCCCCGGACAACATAGCTACTAGGATCACTCGGGTACTCAAACCCCTCCACCACAATAAGGTGGCGGTTCAAGGAGGGGCAGTAGTAACATCGTTTCTTTATTACGTTCTTCTAAACATACATATGATTTTATGGGAGATTGGTATGAAAGGGATGAATCAAGTTTATTTCAGTTCTGATATTAATCTGTTGACTGCTATAATTAAGAAAAATGCAGATTAAGCTTTCTACTGTTATAACAACAAAATGCAAATTGGTGCAGGACAGAATTCCATGTACAGTATATGCATGTCTAATCATGTCTAACATCAGCAAGTGAAGTCAGCTTATTCACCGAATTCTGATACAAATAGGTTGTGATCAGCTACATACTTTTACCTCATATTTGTAAAGTTGTGCTGTCAACATACAGCAAAGGTCACAAACAAGAATTTTATACAAAAAAAAATAAGCAAATGCACATACAGTAGAACATTTAACTTGGTGACAAACTACTAAAAAATTCTTAAGATGATGGTAATGAAAATGAAAAAAAAGTTTTTGTTTAAAAATATCCATATATCCTCGTGCTTTCCCAGTTATGGCAGTAAACTTAATTTTTCTTCACCAAATTTCGGGGGGAACTTTTAAGTAAGTCTCTGATCTTAAGGTAAGTCCCTGTAGCTTCAGCAACTTCAGTGAATTCTGGTGTATCTTCAAATGGAACGATACCAGCTGCAAACTTACTCCGATGAGGAACAGATGTTATTTTCTCGACCTGCTTCGGAGAAGCACAATCTTCAGCACCCCCAGTAGAGAAGTCTGGATCAGGACTCTGTGGGCTGTCTTCCTGGTATTTGATTGGATTAGGACTCTGCAGGCTGTCATCATGGGATTTAATTGGATCGGGAGTCGGAGGGCTGTCGTCTTGAGTTTTGACTGGTTCAGGGCTTTGAGGGCTGTCATCCTCAACTTTGATGGGTCCAGGGCTCTGACAGCAAATCTCTTGGACTTCTGGTTTACTTTTATTTTCACAGCTATGGCAGGTTTCTGCAGATCCCATCGTGTCCATTGCTTCTTCACTCTCTTCCGTTTCTGTGTCGACACGCATAGGCGTGGACACACTTGGTGAACTGGGTACAGGTGTTGCAGCTGCAGGCGTCTCACTGTCACTATTAATAGTGTCAGCATTTTCTAGAGCTGCCCAGATTAACCTCTGCTGCTCCTCTAGTTCCTCCAGTGTCAGGTCATCCTCTGCTCCCTCAACAGCCTCATCAATCACTATCCAGTCACTACCTCGCAGAGCTGGAGAGCCGTTGGTAGGTGTCGGAGGAGGTGTACCTTTAGGGAGAGGTGGGGGAGTGGGTGTAGCAGGGGGTGTGCCCTGGGGTAAAGGAGGAGGTGAACTGAAGCAAGGAGAGCCAGGGGGCAGGGGTGGTTGGAACTGGAAGTCACCAGGGCCATAACTATGATACGGTGTTCCTGGATCTGGCAGAAGACAAAAGTCATCCACAGATTAAAAATGTGACACTTTGACCAAATAAAGAAGCTGCTTTACTGTGCATTATTTAACCTTTCATCCATGAGTAAAAACAGAACAGCTGCTTTTTATAGACTATGAAAAAACAAACAAAACAACAGTATTTCTGTCTCAAATCATAAGCAAAAAGATCACTGTATATTGACATTATACACATTGTTTTTCTTTTCTTGTTTACTTGTTGCCTTACAGAAGAGCATTGCACATACAGACTGAGAGCCACTGTAGCGGAGCCAAATTCCTCATGTGTTCAACACACCTGGCTAATAAAGCTGATTCTGAAAACTTTTGCTGTTTTTGACTGTAGCTTTAAAACACCCCTTTGTATTCTAGTAACATGAAGGACATTTAAGATGTATGAGGACATGCATGCTGACAAAAAAGTGACCAAGATGAACAGCTACCCGATTCAATATCCATATCTGAGCTCCTGTCTGAGTTAGGATTGGGACTGGGCCGTATCTTCTTCCTTAACTGTGGAGATGAGTCAGATTCATACTGCCTCTTGTTACAGGTGGCACCAGGCTGCTCACAAGAAAGAATGACATGTGTAAATGAGACTATTTCAAAGCTCCTCTCAAAATATAGTCATCACACATCTTTTCTTCCTCAGTGCCAGTAAAGTGATGAAGACTGGCAACACAAAATGCTATTTTATCCTCCAAGTGATTAGATAATACAACATGAGGTGTGCAAGAATGAGAAATGTTTGTATTGCTAATGTTCCTCTACAATTGTGTACTTATGGTTTAAGGTCGTTTTATAATCTGTCCTATGATTATTTATATTCTGTGTCTGCTGGTATGTGTTGGATGATAAGGACACAACACTGAAAGTGCCATGATTTTATGAATGGATAACTGTGAGCTCTGTGGATGAGGTAAGCAATGTTTACACGATTTCTTTACATTATTTGGTTACCTTATGAAAACATAAAACATCTAGACTGAAAAATCGATAATACACAATTAAATCTGACAAAGAATGGGAACACATTCATATGGAAGCTCAGTGTACTAGTTAAATAAAGATGGATTTCACAAATAGTACCTGAGGTGCTTGCATACAGTGCCTTGCGAAAGTATTCGGCCCCCTTGAACTTTGCGACCTTTTGCCACATTTCAGGCTTCAAACATAAAGATATAAAACTGTAATTTTTTTGTGAAGAATCAACAACAAGTGGGACACAATCATGAAGTGGAACGAAATTTATTGGATATTTCAAACTTTTTTAACAAATAAAAAACTGAAAAATTGGGCGTGCAAAATTATTCAGCCCCCTTAAGTTAATACTTTGTAGCGCCACCTTTTGCTGCGATTACAGCTGTAAGTCACTTGGGGTATGTCTCTATCAGTTTTGCACATCAAGAGACTGAAATTTTTGCCCATTCCGCCTTGCAAAACAGCTCGAGCTCAGTGAGGTTGGATAGAGAGCGTTTGTGAACAGCAGTTTTCAGTTCTTCCCACAGATTCTCGATTGGATTCAGGTCTGGACTTTGACTTGGCCATTCTAACACCTGGATATGTGTATTTGTGAACCATTCCATTGTAGATTTTGCTTTATGTTTTGGATCATTGTCTTGTTGGAAGACAAATCTCCGTCCCAGTACTCAGGTCTTTTGCAGACTCCATCAGGTTTCCTTCCAGAATGGTCCTGTATTTGGCTCCATCCATCTTCCCATCAAGTTTAACCATCTTCCCTGTCCCTGCTGAAGAAAAGCAGGCCCAAACCAGGATGCTGCCACCACCATGTTTGACAGTGGGGATGGTGTGTTCAGGGTGATGAGCTGTGTTGCTTTTACGCCAAACATAACGTTTTGCATTGTTGCCAAAAAGTTCGATTTTGGTTTCATCTGACCAGAGCACCTTCTTCCACATGTTTGGTGCGTCTCCCAGGTGGCTTGTGGCAAACTTTAAACGACACTTTTTATGGATATCTTTAAGAAATGGCTTTCTTCTTGCCACTCTTCCATAAAGGCCAGATTTGTGCAGTATACGACTGATTGTTGTCCTATGGACAGAGTCTCCCACCTCAGCTGTAGATCTCTGCAGTTCATCCAGAGTGATCATGGGCCTCTTGGCTGCATCTCTGATCAGTCTTCTCCTTGTATGAGCTGAAAGTTTAGAGGGACGGCCAGGTCTTGGTAGATTTGCAGTGGTCTGATACTCCTTCCATTTCAATATTATCGCTTGCACAGTGCTCCTTGGGATGTTTAAAGCTTGGGAAATCTTTTTGTATCCAAATCCGGCTTTAAACTTCTCCACAACAGTATCTCGGACCTGCCTGGTGTGTTCCTTGTTCTTCATGATGCTCTCTGCGCTTTAAACAGACCTCTGAGACTATCACAGTGCAGGTGCATTTATACGGAGACTTGATTACACACAGGTGGATTCTATTTATCATCATTAGTCATTTAGGTCAACATTGGATCATTCAGAGATCCTCACTGAACTTCTGGAGAGAGTTTGCTGCACTGAAAGTAAAGGGGCTGAATAATTTTGCACGCCCAATTATTCAGTTTTTTATTTGTTAAAAAAGTTTGAAATATCCAATAAATTTCATTCCACTTCATGATTGTGTCCCACTTGTTGTTGATTCTTCACAAAAAATTACAGTTTTATATCTTTATGTTTGAAGCCTGAAATGTGGCAAAAGGTCGCAAAGTTCAAGGGGGCCGAATACTTTTGCAAGGCACTGTATGTGGCTTGACACAGCATCTTGTAGAAAGTAAGTCTTGACGTTATACCCAGAAAGTTTGTTTAAAGCTCTGCCATGTTGTCAAAGCCAGGAAAGTAGGTGTGACCTACATGTTGTGATTGAAAACATCCAACCACTGAGGGACTTTAAGATAATTACCACAGGAAAGTTGTTCGACAGGTAGGCTGCATGGTTTTCCTTCATGTGGCTGTTCTGCATTGGAATCGAACCATGCTGAAAGAACTCCTGGAGGTTGGGGAAAAACCCAAAGAAACAGTGAAAAAGAAGAGATGGCCAACTGTTGTTTTTAAAAGAAAAAAAAAAAAAAAAAAAAAAAAAAAAAACCCACCCCATTAAAACAAACTGAAATGTCTGACTTAAACAATGTGCACACATACAATTTATAAACATATATACTATAGCTCCAAGTGACTGCATACTACATTACATGCATAAATCAATTATCAGAAAAACTATATAAAGTAAATGAAACACAGTATTAACATAGCTGAAATATAATAGATATATGGATTCATATAACCTGTGACACATTCAAGCAAAACATTTGAAAAGATTATGCTGTAGGACTTACATCTTTCATCTTGCGTGATGCAGGTACATTAAAGCCTGGGAACTCTACCAGTTTGGACACATCATAAGATATGTGTTGTGAATCACCAACATCTGTTATGATCCCATCACCACTTGAAGCTACAAACACAGACAAAACTGATTGACCCCAGCTTCTGTACAAATCAGATATACATGTTTTGCTATAGTTTTCTCAAACAAAAATCAGTGAGACAACAGTTTTCAATTTTATTTAAAACATACCATTTCCCTCATACAATGTTAAGCCAGAGTTTTCCATCTCTGCCTCTTTCAGCCAACCTGGTGGGTAACCTAGCATCCTCATGCGATAAATCAGAGGAGGAAGGGTGCTGCCATCAAGTCCTAGTGCTGTCAAAAGCTCCTCACTGTTCAAAGGCACAACACAGTGAAAAGCATTCAAGTTTCAAGAGTTACTTTCACTTTTAGATATGGAAAAGTTGTGGGTTGTTCATTTTTGTTGTCTACAAAATAACAATCCTGCCTCATGACTCCAGGTTTGTATTTAGCAAACCGCTCCTCCACTTCATCAGCATGGTATCGTTGGTTACTCTGCAAGGCCTGGTTGTTGTTTTGATTAAACTCCTTTCTTCTCTCACTTATTGCAGCCATGTCTTTTGGCTAGGAAGGTAAGAGTGTATGAATGTAATAAATCATGTTCTGACTTCTCATGTCATATTGACGACTATAGACATATCATTACCTCTGGACAGTCTCTCAGCTGATGACTCCCTGAACCACAGTTGAAACACACAGACTTGGGTCTACAGTGAACAGATGGACTCATTATAAAATACAAAGCAAGTTATACAGAGAAGATGAAAACTAAAAGCTTCATTTGATAATCCCAGACTTACCTTTTGTCTTTCATTTCTATTTCCAGTCCATCTGTTCCAATGACTTGGTTGAAAACCTGGTGATAACTTTGCAGCAATTCAGGAAGTTATAATGTGTTTGTCTACAGCAAATAAAATTGTATCTAATTATTTTGTCAACTTAAACTTTTTGATATAGGTCCTGCTTGAGTGCTGCTTATTTAATTAGAACATACATTTAAAAATCAAGAAAACTTTTCTTCTTCTTCAAAAACAAAATAAAAAAATAGACAAATAACATGCTAGTTTACTTAAAGATACGTTGGAACATCCCATCCATCTGTCAGCTGTGGGTTTTCATTGATCACAGGCTGTCCAAGCTTATCAACGCTGAAAGTAGTGAAATATAAGACACTTCCAACCATCTAGGACAGAAAAATAATAGTTTACAACATGAAGCAAGTGGACTATTTTAATGCATTACATTTTCTTTTCCGTGTGGCGAGAGATTGTGCAATATGCAAACTAGAGACATATACCAGTAAATACTCACTTTAAAGGCTTCTGCTGTTGTTCTGACACTACTAGAAGATGACGTCACTGGGTCTTCATCCAGATCCAAAGCTGAATTCTTTGCAGAGAGAATTTTTTTTTTTTTTTTTTTTTTTTAAGTAAGGTCATTATTGATATTTATCACAATAAAATACATTCTAGATTAATACCTGGGGTTTCATGTGAAAGGTAGATTTTTTCTTTTCATGGCCTGGTTTCTGGTGCTTCAAAATCACACTGCAGACGCAATCTTCAATTTCTTGACGGCATTGCCTAATCAGGAAACATTTATTATTGTTTTTTTTTTTAATTTATCATCACTGTTTACATCATAGAGTTTCATATTTACAACTATTTAGCAGAGATGCACAACCTGCAATGTAAGTAAGGGAACATATAAACCAATCTAACGTTAACCAATGTAAATTATATAGATGCCTTACTTTGAAATAATGTTGTTTATATAAAGGATTTGAAGAAGCGGCCCATCAATGTTGACATCCTCAATTGTGATGCCACTGAAAGGTCGCAGAACACATAGCGTTAGCTAACAGGGCAATCAGTGTCGTTTTATTTGTAGTACACATGGCTAAGTGTCAGCGAATTACCTTGGTCGTGTCAGGATGTTCATCTTCCTTCTTAAGCCTTTATGTGGCCAAGGAGTCAAGGAAACAGACAGAATCACCACAAAATGCCATAATCAGACACTTTCAGATTACAGGCGACGCACAGTTCTATCAGACATTAGCAAACACGTTAATTGTTATTATAGTAACAGCACTAGCATACTCTTAACGGCCCTGACACAAGGATATTCTCTTCAATGAGTCTTTGAACGTAGTCCTCACACTCTTCCAACCTGCTCCGTAAATGGCTCGTCTCGTCCTCTGCTTCCTCGTCATCTGTGAAGCGAATGTGCTTCGGTACCGGCAGAGCGGAGTCTAGCTGCTGAAAGAGCTCGCTATCACCAAAATCAACTTCAGCCATTTTTACGTAGCTCTATAGTACAAGACGGGAGTTCAGAGGTCAAACCAATAACTCTGTGTTTTCATTGGTTCTCCTTAGGTCACGTGTTGTGTAGACGTAAACATGTTTGGGGTAATAGGTTTGGTTAGCCCACAACATTGTTTTACAGGTTACAGATATCTTGGCTGTGTCCGAAGTTGTTTGTTTGAAAAGAGCCAATTTTATCCACAGAGGCTTATTTAGTCTGAAAGGTAGAGTTGAGGGCTTAAAATATCTCAGTGAAATGTTTGCGGTCCTTTGAGTCGATACGGTTTGTTGCAGCTATTTGACCTCTTTACTTTAGTTCAAATTACTCTGGTAAAATATCCAGTCTTTTTTTACGAGATAAGGCCCGGTGGATAGCTCCATTTGTTTACAGCAATGTCAGCTTCCTCAACTATACATTTAACTTTACCGCACTGGAACGGGGGCACTCGAAACATTCGCTTTATTTACTTGGTGAATCTGACATCGTTCAGCCTGACAAAATGTCCCCACAAGGTGAGTGTCAACCTACTTATCACCGTGGGCGCAAATATTATGTTGCTTTTATAGAAATGAAACACGTTCGGTTTGTTTTTATACTAGTATCACGCATAACCCCTAACACTAGCTAGAGAGTGCTAACGTTATATTCGGCCATCATCATCATCATCGTCATAACTCCAGTCAGGAGGGCCCAAATACCAAATGAAAACCAAGGACACAGCAGATATGGAGACAATTATATTTCAAGAGTTTTGTTATAACTGTTATTTTGTCTAAATATGTAAGCGCCACACAGAATAAAAATGTAAAATGTGTGTTTATTGTAATTCAGTTGTATGCGATTTAAACAATTTAGGAAGTGCTTTTAAATTTAAAATCTGTCCATTTCAGTTTATCTCCATGTTTGAATGGAAGGCTTCACAAGGGGATGGCTTCATAGTTTATCTTTATTTCAGGGTTCAGTGATACCTCTCTATTTAGGAGCCGATCTCTTCTCCAACACTGACATCCGCACAGAGAACCATCCCAGATACCACGCCAAGTTTGGCAGAAAAGGACTGGCCACAAAAATAAAATTTTCTCAAGGTAAAATATACTATAACTTAACATCACCAGGAAATACGTGATGTACTGTTTACATGCTCAGTTTGCACATGCATAATTGCACAATGACTGTTGACTGCTGCACCCATGCAGCATACATTCTCTGTTATATTCTTTTATTATATTGCTGCATTTGTTGCTGCTTAAAGTGTCTTAGATTTTGTGTTACTTATTTATCTACTTTAAATTTCATTTGTATTTTGTGGCATTCATGTGGATGACAAAGTAAGAATTTCATTGTACAGGGAAACATGTTTCCTACCTGTGCATATGACAAAATAAACACTTTGAACTTGAACATAACTTGCACCACTCATATCGGACACTGTTGTCCCCCCTCATTTATTGCAGCATTCAGGTTTCATGGTTTGAAGGTACCCACTGCAAATAACAGCCTGTGGTTCTACAGTGTTCAAGGATTATTTCGAGTAGCCTTTGAAATGTACAGTAAACAAGAGCAGCTTGCTGTGCTAGAGAACTTCCAGGTACAGTACTTAAACACATTATTTATGTTCATACATTTTATATATA